GAGATGCCCTAATCATAAATTTTCTTACCTCAGCCCCAGCCATGGTGGGGCTGAAGTGAGTGGTTCCTCAGTCTGTGAATGTCCCTCCCTGGTTCACCTCTCTTTCGAAAATTCCTGGATCTGCCACTGTTGATTTATAATATAATTATTTTTGGTCTTATTTATAATGCGTCTATTGCAATTTTCACTTTATCCTCTCAAACAGTCCTAAGAACGTTCAGATGGCGCTACTTCACAGGGGGATTCGCCCCTACGTAATTCGCATAACGGTTCCCCCCCCCCCCTTTCAAAATCCTGGCTACGTCCCAGTGTAGTGAAGAATACTTACTGAATTTCGACAAAATGTTAATAAATCAGACGCCAGGACCTCCTCATACGGGAACCATATTATATACCGCCGCCATTAGTCGTCGTATTTCAACATTCCGTATGGGCGCGTCGCATCGCGACGACGATCACCAAAACAACCAGACGCCTGGGCTGGTGAAGCTGTTAGTCATGGCTGATGAGGCTCTAGCAAAAGCAGGGTTACATTTCGACGAACTTAATAAAATTCGAGTTTTAGAACCTGATGTTCAACAGCAAACGGTTGAGCTGAAAGATGAGTGTAAAAACTTTGTTGAGAGTATGTATAATAACATTAATATTTGTCTAAATTTGACTGACATTACTTGCATAGGCCTAGCTACCTAGGCTAGGAGGGGCCTAGCCTTATAGCCTAGGTCTAGCCTCCATCCATCATCAAATCAGGTTTTCTGGCGTGGCTAGGTAGGCCTAACTAGAGACCTAGCTAGACTAATGGCTTAGCCTAGCCCTATGCTCTACTTTAGGTACATCATAAATACAAAGTTGAACATAAAATAAAACAAAAAATAGCACAAATACTTAGGCCTATTCTCAGTATCATAAAAAAACTTTATTTGAGGAAAATTGAGCCACTGGTTATGTTATGGTTTTATTTATAAACATTTGAGCGCGTGATTAGAAAGTTGCATGTTAACAATAATATTTCTGTCACTTTTTGCCATATATTTCTGTTAATTTTTGTAAATGCTAAAAAATAATGTACATTTTGATTGTAAATTTTTACTGCAAGTTATATTGGTCATGTAGCCTTAATACACAACGAACCGAAAATTTATTAATTTTTCAGATGACCTTTGACCCACAATTCTGAAATTCTGGGAAAAATTGAAAAAAAAAAATTAATTAAAAAAAATAAGTCATAAAAAAAGTTTTATTGTGCTTGCATTCCCATAGTAATTGCAGTGTCCGACAAAATGTTGGCGCAATTTGTGACGGGCATTAATGGTGTATAAAATGTGCAACTATAACATAATAAAAACTATACAGAATTAATCTGGAAGTAAAACTATCCCCCTCCCTCGGACACCATCCCGGTATTTCTGAGTCTAGGTTTCGGGGCTGGGAATAATAATTATGTACTAAATTAAGTTACAAATGAAAAATAAAAATATTACCAGTGGTAATCTAGAATTAAAACTATCATTAAAAGATTGTTATGGTTTACCTCGTGTACACGATGGCCGATCAACAGCTGATTGTCGGTTTTGCGGTGCCAAAAAAAAAAATATTGCTACGCCTCATATTACATTTATATTTGGCAAATAAACTCTTAGACTAATCTTCGTTATTAAAAAAATTGAACTTTATTACTCGCAATTCTCTAGAAAAAACGCAGAATTTTAATTAAATTTTCAAAAGTTGATAACTTCTATAAAAGTTGACCGATTTCGGAAAAAAATCAAAATGGTGTACTACTTCGGCCCCTGAGTGACCTGATTGACCTGATGAAAACGTCTCAACCAATCAAAAAGCATTTTATATGAATATTTTTCTTAAGGCCTTTGTTGACAAAAACACGCTATGCTGAACTGGGCTAATGACACTAATTGAAGTGTGTGACGTCACCCATCGTGTGGTGCCTATCTACTTGTCTACTTAAAACCCTTCTTTTTGCCTAATTAATGCACTTGCTTGTCAATTATATTCCTGGGAGTCTATTGATTTATCATTGGAAAAGAAAATTGATTGATTGATTCAACTGATTGATAGAATTAACACAAAAGTAGAAACAGATTTCCTTGCCTTGGCTCACGTGTATTTTTTGAAGCAAACTAGGTCAAATACACAGTTCACAAATTTTCACGCAACACACTCATGTTGTCACTTCGGTCCTTGTTGTGTGGTGGAGGTTCAAATTTTATTATGTAATTTATACCGTGACCTATGAAAAATGGAACTATGATGGTAGGCGTGGAGTACCAGTAGTGTGCGATTTTTTAATTACCAAAACACACAGCAATTGCTGAATGCCTAGGCCTAGTGTAGGCTAGGTAGGACCAACCATCTGACAGCACTACATTTGAAACCCTGGCTACTCTTAACGTGTAAAATTTCGAGGCCGGTTACATATAATTTTAGGTATGTCCCGGCACTATGGGGACACAACTATGTGTACGTCCCTGGCTCAGTCCCGGCTAGTGCCCCGCTATGGTCCGGGTGGGGGAAAGGTGCGGGACTACAATTGACAAGTGCATGAAGTGCATTCGCACTGTTTTTGTTGTTATATTGTTAATCTGTATCTGTTTTCGTGTGATAATTTAATAATTCTTGCAACCACATGGTCATGGTATTTGTGGTGTATAGTAAGAAATAGAGTGAGTAAAATAAAGTTGATTATTAAGTTATTTTCTCCCTTTTTAGAGATTGATGGATTCCAGAAAATTGTTGGTGGATTTATTATGATGATGGACAAACTAGCAAATGAAGTGGAGAAAGAAAAAATGAAGGTACTAAAAAAATGTTAATTTAGTCTCAACCCTAGGAACTCAAAATTACACGTTATGTCGAGATCCCTTTGTTGCCCACCTGAGTTGGGCCACATAGGTCCATGTCAGTCCTCCCAAAATATAAAAAGAGGGAGAAAAAATGTTGAGGAAAAAGAAAAATAGACTTTTGTCGATTTCAGCATTTCAAAATGTTTGTGGAACTCAGAAAGATTTATAAAAACCACACGCTACAAGCATGCATACTACCATAGAGGGTACACATTATCATCATGTTAAAAAGGAATTTAAGAGTTTACTACATTTCTCAGCCGATAGTAAGGTAAATTATATTAAGAAATCATAGGAAGGTGTTTATTTATTTTATTTGTTCACCATTCAACAGCAACGTATGTTGCCACTAACAGAATTGAAAAACAAAACATCAATCAATCAATCAATTTTGACTTTACTATCACTTCTGGTCATAAGATACTCCATAACATAATAATTTCTGATCGTAGAATGCCCTATAAAGCTTATTTTCAAAAGAACAATGGATACCCCTCCCATACCTTCTCCTGCTCAATGCTTTTACATCTCGATTAGGCATGCAAGTCAGCATTTGTGATGACCCCCATCTGTTATTCCCTTGATCTGTCTCCCCTCTTCGTCCCCACATTGCCTCATTTCAGGTTTTGATAAAGGCCCTAATCTTAAGTTGGTAGACTTTTAAGTATTCATGCTTCTGACAGGTGGTACAGTAGTCTTGACTTATCATTTGCAGGCCATTGGCTCAAGAAATCTGCTCAAGTCCATAGCAAAGCAACGGCAAGCTCAACAGCAGCAGCTGCATGCACTTATAGCTGAGAAAAAAATGCAATTAGAAAGGTGAGAAAACATTATCAACACAGGAATTCATTGATTTGATTTGACTGTATTTATGCAAACAACATTACCCTCCATATAAAACACAAAAATTAAACAGTATTATAATATGTTAGCCTAATAGTGAAGCATTCCACAATCTAAGGTAGGCATCCCAAAAAATCGGGATGCTTAGAAATCTGAGTGGAATGCTGGATTTTTTTGTATTTGATTTTTAAATTTTGTATGAGTATTGCACAAACAAATTAAGATCAATATAATGATAATGAAATGGTGTGGACTTCTCATTACTACCCCATTCATTTGATGATACACATAAATAATCCCTAGGGAAAATTCCATAATGTTAAAGTGCACAAATAAAATGCACAGTGGTGACGTCATTTCATTTGCACTGAATTTTCGTTTTCCAGACTAATCACTATTTCTACCTAGTGGCAATTTTTTGCGTCTCGTGTGCAAAAAGCTCAAAGCTGTGGTGATTTTACTTTAGTACATTACGATGGAATATTTTTCGTTTAGGCCAAGCTATGAACGCACACAGCAAACCCAACAATTCTCATTCTACGGCGCTGGTTAAGACGAATGAAGCCTAGACCGTTCTAGACAAGGCCTAGAAAGGCATAATGGTTATGAGAAAAGTTCCTATAAAGGAACTGAAAAATATGGCATTGCTAAAATAATTTATAATAATACATTTGGATCTATTAAACAAATGTGTACCAGGAAGTTAGGTCTACCTATAACCCCTAAACGACAATCACGTTATTCATCTTCTTCGTATCGGGAAGAGCTGTGCGAAGCGTGTCAGTGCACTTACTAACAAATCATTCTAGTATGCACAACTAATGCACACGCACAGTAATCACTGAGCAACCGGCCACTGCAACCAGCAGTTTGATACGATTATAATAGCAACCTCTCTACAATCAGCAGTTTCATTTAAAAGGGTCATAGAAAGGTGATGGAAGTCATAACTGACTTGTTATAATGATGATACCAATAGTATAGTTATTCATTTTTTGTCTCCGATTGAAATTAATACATTTGTCAATTTGTCTTAAGAAACAAATCTTTTAGAAATAGTCAAACATGTATTTATTGATAGTAAAACAATGAAAAGAGACAACTATATTCAATGTCAACTCAGTAATCAATCCAAGAAAAGACGATTTAAAAAAATATATATATATATCGACTGGACACAACATAAACAAAACTGCCCGTTTAATAATAAACATACGTGCGTCTAAATATGTTAACGCGCAGCTCCATGGCAACACAATGAATCACACATGCATCTAATAATGATGCTCATCTCTATGGCAATATGGTGTCTACATCATTATTGAATACTTTAATTTCGTATTTCAATTAAGCTTTGTTTATTTTCAGGTACAGAATGCAATATGCAGCATTGCAGAAAGAAGAGGCCGAGCAGAATGAATTCATCGACCAATTTATTCTTCAAAAATAGTTGAATGTTTGTAAATTTCCAATACATAAGCGCCCTCTACAGGTATTTTAGTACACTACCCAAATGACATTCCAAACATTGTCGGACACACTGAGTTGTTCAAATCATATATTTATTTTATTTATATGATAGTTTATATTTTTAAGATCCAAATTCGAATATTTCTGGTGGTAGGACTGAGTTAAAGGAAAAACGTTTTTTTCTGAAATTTTATATTTATTTGGAAATAATCATTAATGTCGATGGGCAGCTGGTCCATTAAAGTCTTTCTAAATGGGAAAAAAAAGTACCAGAAAAAAAAAGACCAGATAAACACTGGACTCCAGTAAGCCGTGCCCTAGCATTTTGTTATGGTGCCACAAAACAACAGCTGAAACATAATAAGCATGTGCATTTGTGGGTAAACACATGTTGGTTGGACAAGTGCATATGCCTGATCCTGTTTTGAATCAGTTGTTAAATTTGACTGAGACTTCAGAAGATTTATGTACAGTATAAGTGTAGCATATGTGATGTAGATACAGTATGGAAAATGTAAAGAATATGTATTAACTGTACATTTGAAATAATACTATATAATACATACTATTACATGTACCTCTCTGCCAGGTTGTGTTTTTTTTTTGTTTACTGTAATTATCCTTTTAATTTAAGTCTTTTTCAACACTTTTTACTTACTTTTTGATGATGTTGATGTGAATGATGATGAGTGAAACATAGTATTACAAACTTTGTTGGTGTTGAGGCTTGTGATTTTTTAAAAAAGATAAATTAATTGTGATCAGAACATCCTGAACATTCCATCATTTAATTGGTGGTGATACAGCTGCTGACATTTTGGAGCATGCTGCTAATGAAGCACAAATAATGTAGAATTTCTGTGCATTACTCTAGCCCATAGTAGGATACCAAGTAGCCCATACTAGGATCCCAAGTAACCCAGTCCATGCAAAGCTACCTTACCCCAGCCGTTTTACAGGTTCTTCAGACACCCATGAGGTATTCCAACTTGTACCAGGTTACCAATATCGGACTTGCCCAGACTATACCACATTATCCAAACTCATAGCAGGCTATCTCGTACATGTTTACCTCATCCACGAGTACACCAATCCATGGTTAATTATTACAACCTATGTTGGTATCTCATCTCATCATGTTACACCAGCCCACATGAGATTACATTCCCTAATTATATGGCCACAAATGAAAAAGACTACAGCAAACAATAAACGTGTGAGAATGATATACTTTTATTGTCACAACATTATATTGTTTGTATTCACCAAATAAATCATTTTACTGCAAGTTTCCATTTTATATCCCTTATTCATTATCCGTATTGTTACATTATTCTACATCAGTATCGATTTAGTTAATTTAAAAGTACTGCGTCACAAAATATAGGGCATTTTACATATAGTACTGTTATCAAATTGTCTTTATGTACATTTTTATATACATCCAGTAACAAAATTATTAACAGATACTAACTGATCAAAATATCAATAGAATCATTATAAACATGATTGGACTAAAGATAATAATGAAGGGCGTCGTCGAAGGACTGGGGAACCCAGATGTTGTTTCAATATTTTTGAGTTCTTACCTTCTATTAACTTCGATAAAACCAGTGAGAATGATGATTAAAACCCATCAAAATGATTATTGAATTCATAGTTTTTTGAAAAAAATAATACAGTTACATTTATTCAACAATTTTAAACATCAATGAACAAAAAAAAAAACAACAAACAATTACAAATAGAATGGTGTACAGAAGCTGGTAAACTATATGCTACAGTAGCACATTCAAGCACCTTTTCCCACCAAGGTAATTCAACAGAAGGACGCACATCTCCGCTCTCGAACATAGCACGTGCGTACAGTCCTTTGATCTTTACTGTGGCATCGACAATCCGATACTGGTTGCGAGTACAGCCGTCAATTATTAGTCTATGCGTGCCATTCGTTTTATGGTGTTAGTTTTTATTTTATTAATTGTGGGTACTTCGCAATGTCTGTTACATCTGATTTTTTTTTACCGCGAGCTTGTTAAATGCTTCTATAAACTGCAATTTGATTTGTGAAAATTGACCAAGAAAATGAAAAGTTATAGCAATTCAAAA